TAGCAGTATAAATCTAATCAGTTCAGACCCAAAACATTCAGGTTTCTTCCAGGGACCTGAAAATAAAGATAAACTTTAAGCTTTAGCATCGCATTGAGTCCAGACGTAACACACAGATCAACACAAGAGCAGTGGTGGAAAACTGGAGTTTTGAAATAGGCCTCGCCCGAGATCACAGCCGACACTGACAGAACATCTGTCAGACATCTGTCAGAACCTCGCAGTCTGAGGGTCTCTGGAGAATATTTGCTGAATGGAGTCGGCAAACATGGCTAAGTCAAGATGTGGGATGATGATATCCACCTGCTAAAGATGACTGAGTGGTGAAAATAAACCAAAAAGTCATAGCAACCAATAGTAAAATACCTGCCAATAATATTACAAAATCAGGTGATTTTAAATGTTTATAGTGTTAGAAAGATTTTTAGCCACTGATATAATACAAACTTTCTGGTAATATGAAGATATTATGTCATTGGTTGGTTAACAAACACATGCAGGTCAGATGACTGCTGTTGTCTCTTTCAATTACAACAGAGAAGTGATTAAACTATGAAATTAATTCAAACTGTTATTAGTTTAACTGGATTTATAGTAGCCTTACCCTTGATCAAGGTATATGACAACTGTAGCTTCAATTGCACCTTATTATTTTTAACAGAAACCAGTAAAAAGTCTTTTATTCCTAAGACATTGCATTTATTTTGTTTTGCAAAGTTTTTATTTTTTATTTTTAAACATAATTTATGGCATTATTGGCAACTGTTATCATGTCAATCCCTACAAAGTTTTGTTTTTCATGGAACATTTTCCACATTTCTTTGACTTTATAACAATTAAAATGGCAAAATTTATGAAATTATTGGTTGTTACTTTTTTGGTGCTTCAGATGTACAATACAGAATAAATATAAAACAAGAAATGGTAAGAAAATAAAATCCCAAATTGAAAATTGAGATTAAATAAATTATGCAATTGTGATAAATGTCCCTTTTTTTCTGGCTTATTTTAAGACCAGAAAATGAATGAATACATTTTTTTTTCAATATTTGGGCTTTTTATGCCAGTACAATAGAGAATGCAGCAGTTTATACTCTTGAAAACCATTTTTTCTATTTTTCTCTTCCTCTATTGTTCAGTTTACAAGAGAAATCTTCCTCAGACTATTTAAGTATGCTCTCCTTTGGCTGCTGTGACCAGTCCTGTTAAAAATACAAAAACAAAAAAAACAAACAAAAAAAAACGTAATATGTGTGAGCGCCACACTGTGTGAGAGGTGAGAGGATTTCCTCTTCACACTCGCCCACACCCCAACAATATGCCTGCGTGGTAAAGTGTGTCTGCCTCTCCTCTGCCTGCGGTATTTTAGTTCCGTATGCTGCGGGACGGAGCGAGGCGGCCCAGCGGGGTGGAAAATTAGATCATTAATTGGAAATCATCAACAAGAAATCTTTGATAAGTAATTTAGCCTCAGCGGTTTGCCGGGCAAGGGGTGGGTGAGCTTTGTGCTCAAAACAAATCACCTTATTAAAATAAAAGGGGATTTTTTTAAAAAAATATCAGCAACAAACAATATCAGGTCTGTAGATTTTTCTACAGAGCATCCACTGATGATGCTCTATTATTGTCACCAACGCAGACTTTTGAAAACAACAATTTTCTTGTAATTAGCAGTGGTGGGCTGACAGAGCCAGCAGGGCCTTCTCTTCCAGTCCTAGAAAATTGAAAAGAAAAAGTGTAAAATGTTTTAATCACATTTAATTTGATCTATAATATTTTTTTATTCTATAAACGAGTTGCTTAAGGTATTATTGAAGTTTCACTGTAATTTCCCACTTTAAAAAGTGCCTTTAAACGCAACTGGCATTTGTGAAATGGCCGCATCGGCTTCAACCTAATGGTAGACCTATCAAAATCGCCCTTTTCAAGACGCTTTTTCACGGATAAAAAAGACACAATTAATAATGGAAAAC